ACTTGTAGCAATGGAATGTAATTTAAAACTATTGCAATTCATCACGTATACTTGAAAAATCTTAGAAAATTAGCTTGGTGTGTAGCAGCTGAAAAGTACTGTGAAATGTATTGTGTAGGAAAAAGATTGTGTGAAAACAGATTATACTTCTCAATAAGGATATAGTGTATTTTGAGGAGAAAATTATAGGCATAGCCAGATCAGTTCATAGTTCTTTTTTTTTTTCTTTTTTTAATGTTTTTAATTTTAGTTACAGTTTATTAACTTTGTATCCCAGCTGTATCCTGCTCCCTCATTCCCTCGAAATCCCACCCTCCCTCCTTCATCTCCTCCTTGCCCCTTTCTAAGTCCCCTGATTGGGGAGGACCTCCTCCCCTTTCATCTGATCCTGGTTTATCAGGTGTCTTCAGGACTGGCTGCAAAGTCCTCTGTGGCCTAGCAGGATTGCTCCTCCCTTGGGGGGGGGGAGGGGTTGGGAGGGAGGTCAAAGAGCCAGCCATTGAGTTCATGTCAGAAATAGTCCCTGTTCCCCTTACTAGGGTACCCACTTGAATACTGAGCTACCATGGGCTACATCTGAGCAGGGGTTCTAGGCTACATCCATACACCAAGGACCATGTATGGATATAATCTAGTTCATAGTTCTATTGAGTAAATCATTGCAATCCACTAAACTTTTTATTATATAATTATTCTACTCACAAGAAAGCACAATACCCGAGGAGTAGTGGCCAAGGCCTGCAGCCCCAGAGCTCAGAAAAATGAGTCAGGGGGATTGCGGTGAGTTTGAGACCAGTCTAGCTTACATTCCCCCCCCCCCTTTAAAAAGAAGTCAGAGACATCAATATGTTTTCCTTCAAACATGCTTAAATTCTTCCACATTACTGAACAGTGAGCTAAAAGGAATGTATTCTTCATGGAATTGCTGCTTACATCGAAATAGAAGGCACATGTGTTGACTTCTGTGATGTCCCGCGCCACCTGTAACCCAAGCAGATTATTTATTTTCTTCTAATTATATATGTCTCATGTGTTTGTGTGCAGTAATACATTTCTCCATTACTAACCCTTCAATCTATGACTTCTGAATTCTGAGGCACGAATAACACTGGCCCATGCATTAGGCTATTTGAAATTTACAATTTCACAATGTGTTTAAACACACTGTAGTATTTCTCAGGGTTTAATGTGTGTCATAAGTGGAGGGTTTGCAAGGCCCCGGTTCTGCTGTCTAACCTGTTAGTTTCAGCAGGTTGGAGGATTTACCTGCAGAGCTCATCGGCTTCTCACAAGGTCCTCTGTGGTGCTGCACTTCAGGACCATTCTTCGAGAACCACTTCTTTTATCACCCAAATTTTCTTATTCAAAAGGACAGGAAAATAGAAGCTTTAAGGAATAAGGGAAATTCTAAGCGAAGGTTAACATTAGATTCACGATCATAGAACAATAACAGCGCAGTGTGAATCATATAAGAAGGCCATTGTCTAAAAACAAAGTGGTTTTTCTAACTGAGAATACAACTTGCCTATTGGGCTATGTTTGTTACTCTTGTTTGCAGCATTTTAAACCACTGCCGTTTCCAATCCCATCTCCAGAATAATTTGTTTTACAGTGGGTGCAGATTTATCAAAATATAGCTGTTATTTTGTAATGTTTATGGAGGATATGTTCACCAAAATTGTGGGTTTCTCCAAGTAAGAACTTATTGGTAAAATTAAGAAATCTGAACAGACCAATTTAATCTCTCTCTCTCTCCTCTCTCTCTGCCTCTCTGTCTCTCTATCTCTTTCTGTCTCTCTGTGTCTCTGTCTCTCTCACTATCACTCTCCTCTCTCTTTTATATTCTTTCTTTTTTCTTGGATGATTATTTCAGCTTGTGCCGTCCATGCAGGCATGGTTGTGAGGCCATCTACTGGAGCAAAGGGAAACCTACAAGTGGCCACTCCCTTGGGAAAGGATGATTCTTCCTCTTCTATCAGTTAACAACTGCCAATAGGTTTTAAGTTAGGGGCTGGGCCTCATGCATCTATGCAGGAATTTTTGGCTGCCTTGATATTCTGCTGGTAACCATGGAGACTCTGAGTCCAGGAGACAGCATTTTAGAGCACTGATCTCCATCCAAGTTCTAACACTCTTTTGAAGAGCCTCCCCTGCACCCAAAGCACATCATTCACTGAAGAGGGATCTAGGCAGTTTATCTTAGAGCCAGTCCATCACAAAGGTTTCTATGTTAATGCTTATGAAAAAAAGCAATTATTAAAAACGTCAAAGTACAGGAAAATATAGACATATGTAGGTTTGGGTTTGGGTCATAATTAATGCTTGTGTGTGTGTGTGTGTGTGTTTGTGTGTGTGTTATTATTGATTGAGTTGAGAGCCTGGTTCATACTAAATAATTATTATACCACTAATACATGTTTTCACACTGTGTTCATACATTTTTAAATGGAAGCAGTTAAGTTGTAAATAAGTAGAAGTAGTATTTAAATTCCTTCAGATATAAATGAATAGCTATGCAATTGCTTCTGAAATGTTGCTATTTATAGTATGTTGGAAATGATATTACTTGCATACACTTGGTGTCATAAAGGTATGATGAACACTTTTTAGATGTTTGTGCAAAATAAATGAATGTGTACATTACTTTTCAGAATTAGTTTAGGACTAGATTAGAGGAAAAAAAGCATTTGCAAAATCACTTTACAAATGACAGTGTTCTGAGACAGCATCAGATTGATTTCCAAAGTGGTTGTACAAATTTACAATCCCACTAGCAATGAAGGAGGGTCTCCCTTTCTCCACATCTTCTCCAGCATGTGTTGCCACTTGAGTTTTTGATCTTAAGCATTTTGATGGGTGTACGTTGGAATATCAGGGCCATTTTGATTTGCATTTCCCTGATTACTAAAATCGTTGAACATTTCATTGTTTTTCTGTTATTCGATATTCCTCTGTTGAAAATTATCTGCTTAGTTCTGTATCCTATTTTTAAATTGGATTATTTGGTTTGTTGGTGTTTAATTTCTTGAATTCTTTATATATTCTGGATATTAATACTTTCAGATGTAGGATTGGTGAAGATCCTTTTCCAGTCTGTAGGCTGTTGTTTTGTTCTGATGACAGTGTCCTTTGCTTTACAGAAGCTTTTCAGTTTCATGAGGTCCCGTTTGTTAATTTTTGATCTTAGAGCCTGTGCTATTGGTGTTCTGTTGAGGAAGTTGTCTCCTGTGCCAGCGAGATCAAGGCTCTTCCCAACATTTACATCTAACAGATTTAGTATGTCTTCTTTTATGTTGAAGCCTTTGATCTACTTGGACTTCAGTTTTGTGCAGGGTAATGAATATGGATTTATTTGCATTTTCTACATGTAGACATCCAGATAGACCAGCACTATTTGTTGAAGATGCTATCTCTTTTCCATTGTATGGTATTGGCTTCTTTGTCAAAAACCAAGTGTCCATAGGTGTGTGGGTTTATTTCTGGGTCTTTAATTTGATTGCATTTATCCACCAGTCTGTTTCTCTGCCAGTACCATGCCATTTTTATTGCTGTTGCTCTATAGTACAGCTTGAGATCAGGATGTAAATACCTCCAGAAGATCTTTTAGATCCAACTATACCATTCCTGGGCATATATCCAAAAGATGCTCAACCATACAATAAGGACATTTTCTCAACTGTCCCTAGCAGCTTTATTCATAATATCCAGAATCTGGAAATAACCTAGATGTCCCTCATCTGAAGAATAGATACAGAAATTGTGGTACATTTACACAATAAAATGCTACTCAGCAATTAAAAACAAGGAAATCATGAAATTTGCAGGCAAATGGATGGAACTAGAAAAGATCATCCTGAGTGAGGTAATCCAGAAACATAAAGACACACATGGTATATACTCACTTATAAGTGGATATTAGACATATAATATAGGATAAATATACTAAGATCTATATTCCCAGAGAAGCTAAACAACAGGGAGGACCCTAGAAAAGATTTTTAATTCTCATTCATAGATGGACACCGGAAGTGGGAGAAGACAGAGAACAGGAGAGAAGCTTTCCCCAGAGGGCCTCAGGAAGACTCTAGCCAGCAGGATATCGAAGCATTTGCTGAGACTCATAGCCAAACTTCGGGCAGAGTGCAAGGAATCTTATAGAAGATGGGGGTGATAGAAAGACCTATAGGGGACAGGAGCTCCACAAGGAGACCATCAGAGCCAACATATCTGGGCTCAGTGGGTATTGTAGAGACTGATGACTCAACCAAGGACCATGCATAGAGAGGAACTAGATCCCTGCTTAGATGTTGCCCATGGGCATCTCAGTCTCCACATGGGTCAAATAGTAGGGGAAGAAGACCTCCCCTATCAGAGGACTAGGGGAGGGACTCGGAGGGGAAAGCGAGCGAGGGTGAGATCTGGAGGAGATGAGGGGAAGGACTATAGCTAGGATACAAAATGAATAAGTTGTAATAAATAATAATAATTTAAAAAGAAAATAAGATAAAAAAACAAATGACAGTGTTGAGACATAATGCTTCCATATGATCATACAAGTGACTAAACCCAGACTTCCTGAAATACAGGGCATTTTTTGGCTTCTGATGTTTGTAACAATCTACTCTGCTCCAGTTTGAATGTGTACTCAACATAGAAGAAAGCTATCTTTTATCAAAGGCTTCTCAACTTATGGTGACTGAATGTTTTTCAGATTATACATCATAGCCTGAATACTTATATAATTATTTGGGGCATTACTACAATTTTTACTTACTCAATAAAAGATAAAGAAAATGAATCATTTAATTTATGTGTCTCTTAACCTGGCGAGTTATGTTTTTAACTTAAGTTAACCTCCTCATTGACTGTCTCATTTGAGGCCCATCTGTCCTGGCTTTCCTGGGTGTTCAAGCTTGATCCCTCTTTCAGTATCAAAAATCTCTCATTCAGAGATGCCTCCATATATACATTTTATACTTAATTGTTCCTCGTCTTAACAGGGAGATCTAGTGTATGTTAACTACGCACGAACTGAAGATTTCTTTAAACTGGAGCGGGACATGAAGATCAATTGTTCTGGAAAGATTGTGATTGCCAGATATGGGAAAGTGTTCAGAGGAAATAAGGTAAAGAGATGACAACCTTGCAGGAAAGTAGATAGATTAGAGATCATAGTGTTAAGTTAAATAAGAAAAATACTACATTTTTCCCTTAGAAGTGCAATTTAGATATCAAAAAGAAAGAACAAAAAATACATGGAAAAGTAGTAGGGAGGGTCCTCATTTGTTTTTAAGAAGTGGAGCAAGAGGAAGGATGATGGGAGAAAGAGGATTATTAGTAGGTGGATATAATCAGAGCACATGATATTCATGTGTGAAATTACTATGAATCCCAATCTTTTGTATAATGCACACAAGGTAATACTTTTAAAGTTCAATCTCAATCCAAAATATCATAATATATTTTACCAGTGTAGAACCGTCTCTTTAAATTTTTTTCTGAGATCATTATTCTTTTTATTTTGTAATCTCCCACTTTACAAGGAAGAATAACGTAAGTTTGTTTCTCTTTTTGAGTTGTGTTGCTGAAGTTCTGCCTGTATTTGCCAGAGGGAACACAGTAGATTTTTCTGTACCTGCAGGTTTCCCTGACTTACAAACAAACGCAAAGAAATTCACAATGGGTTTCCTACTCGTTTCCAGTAATATTATTTTCAAAGTTTTCCCAAATAAAATTCAATGTGAATCATTATTATAGGTAGTGAAAGAAGCTGGTGCTCCATTTTAGACACAGACTTAATAAGAATTTGTCTTAGGGATTGTACTTGTTTATTATGCTTGTAGAAGACTTAAGGGGATAATAAAACACTTGCTCCCACTATGTGAAAGTTCTAGGTCTGCTGCTCTGCAAACCCATCAATTTTTAGACCTTAAAGTGGGATCCAGGCCTAGTGGCACATAGCTGTGGTTCCTGGAGAGGCCGAGGCAGGAGGATTACAAGTTTAAGGTCTTTCTTTGCTACAGAGTGAATTAATGTTCACCCTTGGAATCTCAGCGAGACCCGGTCTTTACAATAGAAGATGGAGCTTAGCTACTCAAGTATAGGATTTCTGGCATCTGCCATTATTAAGTGTAGAGCAACTTAACCTAAACTCAAAAAAGGAACCCCATGTCTTCTAGGTTAAAAATGCTCAACTTGCAGGAGCAAAAGGAGTCATTCTGTACTCAGACCCTGCCGACTACTTTGTTCCTGGAGTGAAGTCCTATCCGGATGGCTGGAACCTTCCTGGAGGGGGTGTTCAGCGCGGGAATGTCTTAAATCTTAATGGTGCAGGTGACCCCCTCACACCAGGTTACCCAGCAAACGGTGAGTAGTTAGATCCCAGCCATCATAAGAAACTGACCATCTCAAATGATGTTGTAAACTATTTCTATTACAGCATGACTAAGAATGTTTTTCTTATTCTTTTTGAGTCATAGATATAAAATTCTGAAAATCGTCAGTCATGTTCCTTAGCTCATAGTTTAAGGTTTGGTCCCGATAGGTTTGGAACTCAGATGTTTTGAGATATTAAAATGTACTATAGCTCATGCATAATATAATGCATGGTACTTATAGAGAGGTGGAGATAGAATACAACAAGAAGGTATTTAAAATAATTCTGCACCAACATGTTCAATGATCAACAGTGAACATGGGTTAAAAATAAATTATGTGTGGACTCATGTCTGCACTATTCTGCCTTTTTCTGCACATGAATTTGGCCAAGTTGGCTTTTCCTGCTAAAGTAATTCACTCAAAGTTTATAATTTTTATGAGTAAAGCTTTTACTTTTCTAGTAATGAGTAGAAGAGCAAAAAGTCTTATAATATGATTAGGTAGTCCACCAAAGATACAGAGACTAGATAGTGCCCTAAGGATACAACAGCTTTTGTTGCTTTGAAAAGGTAAGTGCCTCATTCAGAAGGGCAAACAGGATAGACATTGGAAGTAAGACAAGACAAGGTACAGGACAGGAGCCTTCCACAGAGGACCTCCAAAAGACTCTTCCATGGTTTAGAAGGCGATACTGAGACTAATAGCTAAACATTGGGCAGAGTGCCAGAAACCTTATGGAAGAAGAGGGAGATAGAAAGACCTGGAGGGGACAGGCACTTTACAAGGAGAACAACAGAGCCAAAAATCCTGGGCCCAGGGGAAGATACCGACATTCCAACCAAAGACCATACATGGAGAGGACCTAGACCCCTGCTCAGCGGAAGCCCATAGGCTGCTTAGTTTCCAAGTGGTTCCCTAGTAAGGGGTACAGAGGTTGTCTCTGATATGAACTCAGTGGCTGGGTCTTTGATCAGCAACCCCTGGGGTGTGCAGCCTGACCAGGCCACAGAGAAATATGATGCTGCCAGCCTTGATGAGACCTGTTAGGCTAGGGTCAGATAGAAGGGGAGAAGTTCGTCCCATATCAGGGGACTAGGGAAAGGTATACAGGGAGAAGAAGGAGGGTGGGTGGGGCTGGGAGGAGACAAGGAACGGGCTGCAGTGGGTAAACAAAGTGAATAAATTGCAATAAAAAATAGATAGATAAATGAATTTTTTAAAAAAGAGAAGATAATTGGAAAATTACCAAGAAGTGTTTCTTAACTGACAGCTTCTGAATGCCTTATCAACCTTACAAACAAGAAGATACTATGATCTTTGTCTTGGAGAATGAGTGAGACTAGATGTAAGCAGTTCACCTGCACCATTAAGCAGGGCAGTGGAGTTCAAAGTCCTACGTTGTATCAGAGTCCATAGTCCTCACTTTGGCTGAAGTGCTTCCTCATCAATCATTAATTTAAAAAATAGCCAAATTGTTTTTGATGCATTCAATTATCAGACGATGTCTACAAAATCAAGGTTCATTTATTTTTCATAGTTTGGAACAGAGCAAGTATTTATAACATGGATAAAGGAGTTTGCTGAAGTACCTATGACCTTTACATATTTATTTTTCACGTTTGCTTTGTCAACTAGTATATTCTTATAAAGGTTATGTGTTTAGAGGATTTGTAGATCTTTCTTAAAATACAGAGCACTGACGTAGATGTTCTCATTATTTAAAATAACTTAATTTTACTCTACTGTAAAGGAGAGTCACATAGGTGTGGGTAGATAGGCTTCCCACATATGACCCCACCCCCATCTAGACATGAGCAGTATTAATTGAGTCCAGCAGATTATTAATAAATTACATAAAATAAGGAGACTGAAATTTTTGGTGGCTCATGGGGAGTTGGAGGGAGGGAAATAGTATAAACACAATCAAGATACATTGTATCCATGTACTAAATTTTCAAAGAATGTGAAAAAGGAAAAACCTCAAATATTAAACAGACCATTGCATATATAAATGGAAAGAAAATGCTGATTCTGCTTGCCTTTTACATACTCTTATCTTTTCATTTCTACATTAAAAAAATGAACGTTCTTCCAACTTAAGTTTCTCTTATTAAGAAAAAATTGTGAAAATAAAATTAACTGGAACTTCTGTTTTTTATCTGCACATTTAAAATGATCAGACTTTAAGGGGGAAACATGTAATCCCTAGTGATAACATTTCTCACTTTTTGTGCTCTTACATCTGATTATGGTTTCCCCTCTGCCAATGCCTCTGAGGCCCTGCCCACTCCCCTCCCATCTGAACCCACATCATTTCTATCTCTCATTAGTATAAGTATCTAAAAAATACTATTAAAATAACATAAGATGAAAAAAAACAAATAAATTTGAATAGGGCAAAACAAACAGAAGATAATAAAAGAAAGAAAAAGAATAAGAAACACACATGCACACACACACACACACACACTTTTGCACACATAAGAATCCCATAAGAACACAAAACTGAAAGCTATACATATATACAATGGGCCATTGGAGTAAAAATAATCCCCTTGAAAACTAGGAGACAAGGAACCTCTGGAGATGGCAATCAGTAATCTTTTTGTAGGTCATTTCTTGCTGGCCATTGAGTCTGCCCTTAAGAATGGTTTGTATCCCCTTGTAAAATTCTTTTGGGGAAAACAAATTTTTTATTTGTGATTGGTTACCAATTGGAGATTACTTTTAGGTTAAGGATGGGAGCTTTTGTTCACTTCTCCTTTCAGCTCTAGGACCCCATTTGGTATAGACCTGTGCAGGTCTTGTGCATGCTGCTGCAGTCTCTGTGAGTTCATACATGCATAATTTATGCTGTATTTAGAAAGCCTTGTTTCCTTGGTGTTCTTTAACCCCCTCTGTCTATTAAAATCTGCTTCCTTTTCTGGAAGGTTCTCTAATACCTGAAGAAATGAATGTGATAGAGACATACATTTTAGAGCTGAATGTTCCAAGGTCTCTAACTCTCTGCATGTTGTCCCATTGTGGGTCTCTGTTTTGTTCACATCTATTGCAGGAGTAAGCTTCTTTGATAATGCCTGAGCGGGGCACTGATCTAAGAGAACAACAGAATACCACTGGAAGTCAATTTACTGCTGTAATCCTTCAGCAGAAAAGTAGTATGTGATTTTCCTCTAAGTCCTTGGCATTTCTAGTTTTAGATTCTTGGCCATGTGAGCAATGTCAGGGAGGGGTTCTATTTTCCAGAGTGGACTTTAAATCTAATTAAATATTTTTTTGTTGCTCCCACAGTCTTTGTGTCTGTATTTCACTAGAGCATCTTACAGGAGGTTATTATTTCAGATCGGAAAGTTTGTAGCTGGGTTGGTATTTGCCTTTCTCTTTTGTAGCTCGTAGGGTACCTTCCAGTACCACGAACACTAATTGGAAGAAGTAAAGGCTCTAGGTCGGCATCAACTCAGCTGCTCCATGTTCAATAAGTTTTGTAGGAATTGCAGTCATCAACAGTGCCTTCGATCAGATTGTGGAGAGTAACTAAAAGCCACAACAATAGGCCGGGTTGTTTGGGGTTTCCCAACTCAGATTTAACCCAGTTCCAGCACTGAAGGCTTTACTTGACAATGAGAGAAATCTAGTTGGAGCTTTATCTTCACCATTATTAAGTGAGTCCATTTAGAATTCTGTCATATATGTATATATTTCAAGACACTTGTACTGTGTTGGGTTTCCATAGGACTCCTAAGATGAACCATAGTTTTATCTGTGCCCCTGCCCCCATATTCCCTACCTCATCTCTTTCCTTGGGTGAATAACCAGAAATGGAGGTCCTCAATGGATCATTTTTCTGTTTGACATTTTTATTTTGTTTTATTTTTATGCAAACACACTGCACTTTTTATTTTATTGTTTATTTTTTTATTCATCCCTCATATATTACATGCTGACCACAATTTCTTCTCCCTCTCCTCCCCCCTCAGTGTCTTCTCTGTCTGCCTCCCCTCTCCCCAAGATCCATACCCCTCTAACTACCCTCAGAAAAGAGGATGCCTCCCAGGGACATCAACAAAACATGGCAAAAAATGTTTCAGAAAAAACTGACATGTACCAACACATCAATACTAGACAAGGGTCTAGTAGGAGGAAAAGGGTCCCGTAAGTAGGCAAAAGAGTCATGGATAGCCTCTGCTCCCACTATTAGGATTTCCGTAAGAACAACAAGCTACTCAGCCATAACATATGCAGAGGACCAAGGTCAGACCCCTACAGGCTCCCTGGTCTTTGCAAATTCCCATGAGTGGCTGGGTTTAACATCCCATCCTTCATTGTCCATCTGGACTCCCAGAAGCACATTGACTTCTCACTCCGTTCTCCTTATGGTGGTGGCCGCCCAGGCAGAGTGAAGAGGAAAAATGCCAAGAAAGGCCAGGGTGGTGCTGGAGCTGGTGATGATGAGGAAGAAGATTAAATTAATACCTTTCTGGACTGGAGGACTATAGTTTTCCAGTTGACTAATAAAACAATTGGTAATTGAAAAAAAAAAAAGATTAACTAAAAACAAAAAAAACAAACGAACAAACAAACAAACAAACAAAAAACAAAAACAGTATCCTAGGAGTGGCATGTGGCATAGCTGGATCATGAGGAAGCCCTATTCCTAGTTGTCTGAGAAAGCACCAGATTGATTTCCAGAGTGGTTGTACAAGTTTACATTCCCACCAGCAGTGGAGGAGGGTTCCCCTTTCTCCACAACCTCTCCAGCATGTGTTGTCTCTTGAGCAACGCTCAATCCCCATTCCGAAAGGCAAAGAGGATGTACATCAGAAGAAGGAGAAAACAGGGAACAAGTTAGGAGCCTGCCACAGAGGGCCTCTGAAAGTCTCTGCCCTGCAGACTATCAAAGCAGATGCAGAGACTTATGGGCAACCTTTGGGCAGAGTACAGGGAATCTTATGAAAGACATGGGAAATAGTAAAATCTGGAGAGGCCAGGAACGCCACAAGGAAAGCAACAGAACCAAAAAATCTGACCACAGGGGTCTTTCCTAAGACTCATACTCCAACAAAGTACCATGCATGGAGATAGAACCCCTGCACAGATGTAGCCCATGGCAGTTCATTGTCCAAGTAGGTTCCATGGTAATGGAAACAGGACTGCCTCTGACATGAACTGATTGGCCTACTCTTTAATCACCTCCCCCTGAGTGGGGGAGCAGCCTTACCAGGCCACAGAGAAAGACAATGCAGCCACTCCTGATGACATCTAATAGAGTAGGAGCAGAAGGTAGGAGAGGAAGACCTCCCTTATCATTGGACTTGGGGAGGGGCATGCGTGGAGAAGGGGGAGGGAAGGTGGGTTTGAGAGGGGAGGAGGGAGGGGTTTATGGGGGGATACAAAGTGAATAAAGTGCAATTAATAAAAATTTAATAAACAAAAACAAATATAAAAAAACAGTAGCCCTCTTACATACATATGACAAATGGGTTGAAAAATATTCAGAAAAACAACACCCTTCCAAAAAGCAACAAATGATACAAAATATCTTAGTGGAACTCTAACTAAGCCAATGAAAGTACTGTGTCATGAAAAACTGTTAAGTCTTTGAAGAAGAAATTGAAGAAAGAACATATAAGAAGGTGGAAAGGTTTTCTGTGCTCATGGACTGGTAGGATTAAAATAGTAAAACTGGCCATCCTACTAAAAACAATCTACATGTTCAATGCAATCCCCATCAACATTCGATTACAATGTTTTTTTTACAGACTTTAAAAGAAAAATACTTAACTTCATACAAAAAAAAGAGAAAAACACAGGATAACTAAAACAATCCTGTATAATAAAAGAACTTCCAGAAGTATTTTCATCCCTGATCTCAAGCTATACACAGAGCTTTAGTAATAAAAAAACATGGTATTGGCATAAAAACAGACATGTTGACCAATGGAATTAAATAGAAGACCCAGATATGTATCTACACACATCTGGACACCTGATTTTTGACAAAGAAGCCAGAAATGTACAACAGAAAAAAGAAAGGAGCATCAACAAATGGTGCTCACCTAACTGGATGTTAGTATGTACAAGAATGAAACCCATATCTATGAACCTGTACAAAAATCAAGTCCAAGTGTTTCAAAGACCCCAACAAAAAAAATGGATACACTAAGTCTAACAGAAGGGAAAGTAAGGAATAGCCTTGAACACATTGGTACAGGAGAAAATTTCTGAACAGAGCACCAACAGCTCAGGCACTAACATCAAGAATTAATAAACTGGACCTCACGCAACTGAAAAGCTTTTGTAAAGACAAAAGATACTGACATTTTAAAGAGAGTTATTCTAAAACATTATGTGACTTTATACTCTCACAGGCACGAAGATGAGTTTCAGTTTCTCAACATTCTTTTTGACACTTAGAATTGTACCACGTCTGAATACATTAAAGATTGTATTTAATATTATTTGCAAAAACCCTCTCCCTGAGAAGACCAAAGAAAACTGGTTTTAGTGACCAAATACGCACTTTCTTTTTTTCAGAATATGCTTATAGGCATGAGTTGATAGAGGCTGTTGGCCTTCCGCATATTCCTGTCCATCCAATTGGATATGATGATGCACAGACACTCCTTGCGTAAGTTTGACAGAAAAAAAAAAAAAAGATACCTGTTTTGTTATTTCTAATTTTTGAAAAATTTCAAATGTTTTACTTTTATCTGCAAAGTTTGGAAACCTAGTCTCAGTGATTGAAGCAATATAGAAAAGTTTTCACAAATTTAAAGAATACTGGCTCTGGTTCAGCGATTTATTTTCTACCGGGTCACCAATATGTGACAGCCATGAAAATGGTCCTTCCAGATTTTCAACTGGAAGGAGAATGATTGATCAGCTCTTCAAACCATGATGTCAAAAGACCCATCTGCCCATTTGTGACACAGTCATGTTCTCAGGCTGGCCAGGCGTGAGTGTGTCAAGCATGACAAGAGATTTGTTCCTGAAACATAGCACACCTTAGAGGCAAGACTGTTAACTGATGACTGCTAGATTGCCTTGCTCAAGTAAATGTTACATTGTCATTTACTGATGACAATGTACTGATGACACTGATGTACTGTCATACATCAGTGAGAAAGCATTATATAAGCAGCTTAAGGCCTCCAGTTTCACAAGTAAATATCTCAATATCTAGAAATTTGAGGTATGTGTCCAATCTATGGGTATATCATTTTTCGATTTGGGCTATTAACTGTAACGTTTGGGTCAAGATTCAGCACATGGTACAATCTTTAAGATCACAATGGGCTACACATTTAGATAAATGCATTGATAAGTTAAAGCTAAGCATTTATATTAGTTAAAGATGACTATCATTTCAGTAGAACTAGTATAATGGAGATATTTAAACAAAAAATTTTAGCACCTTCAAACAAGTCACTGGCTATGATAGTATACAAAACAATAAAATATATTAAAATATTGGACAAGAATATTGTCAACAAATCCTCCTTCCACCATTCATTCTTTTTATTTGTGTTTTGCTGAGTTTAATATTAGTTACTTGACCAACTTATTATCTATCTATCTATCTATCTATCTATCTATCTATCTATCTATCTATCTATCT